GTAGGGAAAAAAAAGATGGTGGTTAAAGGCATTTAAACTTAATAAAAAATGTACATTATTTTCTTTGTGTCTGTATAGGTACACCAGAATTTATGGCCCCAGAAATGTATGAGGAACACTACGATGAATCTGTGGATGTTTATGCTTTTGGAATGTGCATGTTGGAAATGGCTACCTCAGAATACCCCTACTCAGAGTGCCAGAATGCTGCTCAGATTTACCGGAAAGTAACCTGTGTGAGTAAACCTCCTGAATTTGTATTGAAATTGTGTCATTTGAAGGTTTAAAAATGTATTCTGATGAGGCCTCAGTACTGTTGCATGTGTAGTGTGTTGCAGATGTTGGAGGTCTCTTAGATCTGGGTTACACAAACCTGTTGCAGGTTTATTGGGAAGCCTGTGATTCCATGGTCTGACTGTATTTGTCTGTTCTACAGCAGCATAAAATACTTTTAGTAATCCTTGGTGCTGATTTTGTCTCTGTCAGCCAAAACCACGTAAAACTTGGGTTGAATAAGCAGGGAAAAATCTTTGCTCTAGTCTTGTCTCCTAAATAGTGACTCCTTGGACTTCATCAAGTTTCCTACAAAGCAAAAATGACTAGCTTATAGATTGCAGCTTAAATACTTAATGATATGGTAGAGGATGTTTGATTCAGATTTCCAACACAGATTCTTGGTGTTTTTATGTGTAACCAATTACCAAAAGATATAGAAGGGAGAAGATTACTGTATTTAGTTTTGGAGTGAACCAGAGGAGCTTTGTATCTGCAGTTTGGAATGCTACAAGGTCTGGTAATCCCCACACAGGAACTATGGGAATGGTTTTGCTGTATTTTCCGGTGAGGTTAGGCTGGAGGAGAAGCCAATCTACAATAATCTGTATGCTGCATAACATACCCTCTCTGACACTGTCACCACCAGATGATAAATGTATTTACTGTACTGCAAATGTCTGAAAAAAGTCCTGAGTCTGTAAGATGCTATCAGATTGCAAATCACTGACTGCAGAGAAATGAGACTTGCCAAAGGCTTTGGCAGCTGTAGTTACGTCCTGTTCTGCTTGGTTATGTGAAACCAAAGGTTGCTGTCATGCATCACCAAAAGATGCAGTCTTTACACCTGGGATATGAAGAGGGTAATCTTCTGAAGAAAGCAGCTCTAATTTGCAATAAATTAGCTACAGATAAGGTTGCTTTTATTTCTTTGGCCTATAAGGCAGGAACAACAGTTGGGCTTGCATACTAGATAAACTGAGCAGATCCATATCTCAGTCTGCAAAAGTGTGGACACAAAATTAGTTGTATTTCTCTTATCCAGCTGCTTGTTTTAAGCAAAAATCTTCTCAAAAGAATCTTTGTAATAAGTGGTACTTGAGATCACTTGCCTTCTTTAGGAAATCAGACTGTACAGACATGGTTCTGTGAAGTCCTGCAGTCAGCAAACCCCACTCAAGGTCCAAGTTGCATTTTCTGATTTGCTGTGTGCTGATCTCTCATGCTGGATATAGTGATGGTCTCATCAGGTACCCAAACACTCACATGTGCTAGACGATGGGTTTATGTGCAATTTAACTTCTACAGATATAGTTTGCATTGTTCAATATCTATCTGCCTTTTCCTACTCCTGAGGATGCCAGGAAGCTGGTGCTACTGTCGTAGGTTACTGTGCTACCCTGCTGCAATGGTGCCAACCTGGCAGGAGGGAGGGGATGGAAATGGCTTGGGAATCTGTGGTCAAAAATTCAAGTCACTCTCCCTAGACACAGAAGCATATCCCTGTTGGAAATGAGAGAGATGCCATGACTTTCTGAGAGCAGGAGACCACATCTGAAGAGGGGGAGCATCTTCATCCCATTTTTGTGTAAACCTAAATCTTTCCCAATGTACTGTAACCCTTTTTCTGGTAGTTTAACTGTATGAGTGTTGCTTTCAACCCAGATCAGAAATTAAGAAGGTTTTAAAAAGGCAGCAGAAGCTGTTGAGCAGTGCAGTGTGAGGTTCATGGCCACTGTCTGGACCAGCTCCCTGTGGCTCTCCAAGGTGGGCAGAGATGGGTCTCTGCTGGTTTACGGGCTCCAAGCCCTTGTGCTCAGCACCACAAGCTGGTTGGAAATGCAGGCTGTGTCTTCCCAGAAAAGTGAAGTATGTTTGATGCCTCAAGGAAGTTACTTGCCTGAATCTTTATGGGGCTTTATCACATTGTTATTCCACTCACTCCTGTCCCACAAGGAAAAGTTTATTTTGCTTGGCAGGTTGATTTCATTTAGGTATATAGTCCTTTGGATGTGCTTTAATTGCCATCCTTGTAGGTAGCTTAGGAGACATCTCCTTGGGCTCTAAAGCTTCACCTGTTGCCAGCAGGAGTCTCTTCTAATTTTAGGCTCTGGGGTCTTATCTCCTAAATATGACGCTGTTGTGTCCTTTTGGTCTGGGAACACTAGGTATCAAATGGCCTCAGGAGAAGGGTAGTGTGTGTGACTGGCTGCAGTGGTGGGTACTGCAGGTTTGTGGAGCTGCCAACACAGTTAGGGAATGTTAAGGTGACCTGGGTATGTGTGGCATGTGGAGCCATGGCTCATATAGATGGCTTTCCTTGCTCTGTGTGCCCAGAGAAACTCTTGGCCATCTGCAGTATTGGTAATTAAGACTTCAGAAGACTCCTAAGCCTCATTTATCAAAGCAATATCCAAGATGGCAAAGAATAAGGATTCATGAGAGTTTTCCTAATTAGATGTTACATTTCAATTTGCAGACTTAAGGAGTGAGGTTTTTAAACACTGATGAAAGCATAAACCAACTCCTGTTTTGTGGCAATAATGTAGCGGAGGATTAGGTGGTAAATTACTATAACTTTGTAAGACTGATTTTACACCAGCAACTTTAGAGAGTTGGAAAACAATACTTATCATGAAGGACAAGGTCACTTATTGCTTGCAAGGGGCATTTTTGAAACCCAGCTGTCCTACAGGGCCGGACACAGAAGTACGTGTGCTGCCTTCATCAGTGCGTGTGGGGCAGCAGCAGTGGGAGCAAAGGCTCTGGGGTTCCTTAGGTGGACAAGATGGTGTTGCTGTCATTCAATTAATTACTGTCATTCCAAGGAAAGGGTTAATCAGCTCCCTGTGGAGAGGGAAAAAGCCCTGTGGAGCTGCAGAAACTGTTGGACAGGGAGGAGGAGCAGGGGGTGGACCTCTGGGTGAGGGTGCAGGAGGAGCAGCAGGCGCCTGGGGGGATCCCAGAAGGAACCTCTCTGCTGGGCTCCAGAGGAGCAGCACCTGCAGAGGAGCTGGCAACAGCAGGGGACCCCACTCCAACCCACGTGAGTCGGCCGGCGCCGCGGGGCACAAGCAAGCTGCTGCTGTTGGGGGGTAGGATTTTGGGTGTGGGACTCCACCTTGTCCTGAGCCATCACCAGATGGTGGGGTCTGCCCCATCAACTGGGGTGGGGAGCACTTAGAAGTGATAAAACTTCAGAGTCCCTTTTGACCAAGAGGTAGGATCAGTCATGCAGCAGCTGTGGCCGGCACTGAGTTTTTCAAGACTGAAATACAGCACAGAACTGGAGCACAGGCTAAAACCAGGAGTCTGAATCAAAAGTTTTCTTCCCAGGGTGAGGTGAGGTCTGGGGTTTTGCCTAGAGCAGGAGGTGGCCCTGACCTCCTCAGGTCGAGGGGGTCAGTGGTGCAGCGCTCCTGAACACAGTCACACATTTCAGCCTGTCCTGAAAAGGACTGAATTAAACAGGGGGTTTGCACTACAAAAATAAACATGCTTTTTAGTGTTTTAAATTGAGACTCAGTGCATTGCAAAAAGGAGGTTGCTCTGTCTAGTTCCCTGATGCTTTTATTTGAAAGATGTAACTGACTTCTCCTGCCTAAGGCTCAGCATCATGGTGGCAGAAGGTGCTGATAGCATCTAAAGGGGTTGAAATTGCTTGCATCCAGCAAGGTATGCTTGCTAGTGAGGGCACAGTAACCACCTTATTCTTTAGACTGCCCCTCCCCTTGGATTGTGCTGGGCTGCACCTTCCTGCTGCTGCCCAGCACAGCCAGGACATTTCTTGCGTTTTGCTGTCATAATATCTTTTACAATTGTGTCTGCTCTATGTCCTCTCACTGTATCAAACTCTTGTCTGCCAGCAGGGTGGAAGCTAGATCTGAAGTCATAGCTGCTGAAGCCCCATGCCCTGGTAGTCCTTGTTGGTACAGACATTAATACTCTTAGACATGGCTGTTTTGTTTTAATATATTGCTCATTATGTGTGTCCATAGTGTAAGGTTATTATACTTAATTCAGTGACATTTTATTCTACCTGACCATATTCTCATGGCTTAATTGCTGCTTCAGTTTTCCACTCTGGTTTTTACATTTGTGTATCTGTATGTATATAATAGGATAAAGTAGTAGTTGTTTCCCAAATGCACAGAGGAGCTTTGCCAGATGGGTCATGCTTGTTACACTTTGTCATGTCTCTCCCTGCCCTTTCAGCCTGAATTCTGGTCTGTAAACATAAAAAAGTGGGTATGTAATATAAACAGAAAATACATATTTTTCAATCAACAGTTCCAAGCCCCATTTACTGCAGTTGGCTTTGGAGTGATTTCCTGGTCAGCATATTTGCAGTGACCTTCATTCTGATGCCATAATCTCATTTTTCATGCATAACTTGATGGTTTTTCTTAGATTTTTTTTGGTGTTTAATCATTCTGCCAAGTGATTTTGATGCAGACAATAGTGATGAACCATCAGAGTCCGTGACCTTCCCACGTCGCTCCAGTCCAATGTTTTCTTACTGATGGCAGAATGCACAACAGACCAGCTGTATCTGCAAGGGCTTCATGGTGACCTCACTGTGTTTAGCAGCACAAACCTGTGCTTGAAAACAACTCATGTTTATAGTTCTGATTTGCATTTTAAGTTTCCATATTGATTCTTTTTTGAATATATTGAATGTTTTGTCGGTACCCATGGGCTATATTCTATATTGCTCATACAGATAGAAACACACAAGAAGTCAATGCAATGACAACGTTATTTTCTGTTGTTGCTGTGATATAGCTATAGCATTTATTCTGTCTTCTTGGATCTGTAGATAATCTTCTGAGAATAGCTTTAGGATTGAGTACCATGTTGGAGTGAAACAGAGATGAGTTGCACACATCAATCTCGCTGCTGAATGTTGAGGCCCCAAATCCTGACAAAACTGAGAACCTCACCTTCACTTGATTGACTACAAAGACTGTAGTAGGATGGAATTTTAGTTGGAAACATGGTTTCAGTTTTTTTGGAAGAAGGCTTTTCCTTTTCTAGGAACTACCCCAGTCTAGGAGATGGAGTTTTAGTGCAAAGTAGACTGTATCTAGACTAGGAAGGCACCTCTTGGGTGACAGAAATTTAGAAAAGTTCCTGACATGGGTCAGACCAAACGTTGGCTTGTCTGGCATATGCTGTGCATTGTATAGAGCACTGGGTGTTACTCTTTCAGAAGTGTGTTCTGCTGATGGTGAGTGGCTTTTTTTGAGCTCTGAAAACACAAGCTTCACATTTTTGCCCCTGCAGGGTGGTTAAAATTTTTATGTCCTACATGTGCTTTGACTGTAGCCTCAAATATTTTATACTGTAGTGCGATGTGTTTCAAATCTGATCACTTCAGGAAGAAATGGAGGAGACTAAGTAGTGATGAAGGATTCAGAGTCCATCATGCTGTTTGAGACAGAAATTTTCAGTTTTGATTTTTCTCTCAGTTTGCTGTTGGATTTTTTTAATTTATTTTTTTTTAATCATTTCAGGAGTTTCTATGAAAACATCCCTGTGCACCTTAGGTCAGCCTGTTAGCCCTGCAGCTCAGATGCCCTGGTGTTGAATTTACTATTGTTCACAAGACGGCTGTGCCGTTTGCAATCTGCCATAGATAATTCCTTAGCTGATATACTTTGAGTTTTGGTGCCATGTTTCCTTGGGAATGCTCAGGAGAGACAGATGGCTTGTGTATAAATGAATGAGAGGACTGCAAATGGAAACCTGTGTTGTGCATAAACCCCCTTCATTGTCAGGAGGCTGGGGAGCATCGGCACGGTACTGCAGGGAGGATTTGCAGTGTTACAATGAGATGGCCTTGGAGAGTTTAATGAAGAGTAAGGAGCAGAAACATGCTATGGCAGATGGACATTGAGAAGAGACTTTAGCAAAGCAGTTCTGGTCTGTGCTGCACTCTGCATACTTTGTCCTTGTTTGTTTTAGTCAGCTATTCACAGCTTAGCTGTTCAGTAGGTTAATATAATAGATGTTCAAAGAGGAGCCAGTGTTCCTGCAAAAGATGTTGAAAGTGAAGTGATGTTTGGAGGAGTTGCTGTGGTCTTTTTTTTTTTTTTTGTGGTAGCAATTTGTAAGGTTAAAAATTGGGGTCAGTCACCAGTGATCTGTCAAAAGGAGCATTTTCAGGTAAACTTAGTGTCTAGATGCCCAACATGTCTTGCCTAACTCCATCTCAGTCATGTCAGAGTTTGAGTTGAGCCATGCACTGAAGGTTGTGAATTCTGAATAATAAAATTAGATTTACTGTGATAAGCCTTATGCTATTTATGTCTCTCATATGCTTCATTTGTGTTAAGACACTGATGAAGCACTTTGCAGGTATAAAAAGCAACTGGCGGGTTCCCGTGAGTGTGTAGATTCATGAGCAATAAATTCCTCTAGGTAGAGGAAAGCTCTTCAGGTAGCCTGGTGAACGTTGCCTCTACTGCATAGATGGGGATTTCAGGGGGTTTTGGTTTGGAGGAGGTTGGGTTTTTTTTATTTTTTTATTAGGGGTGTGTGTTTATTTTGGTTTGTTTGTTGTTGTTTTTGGTTTTTTAATTGTTTTCAGTTAACTTGATGCCGATGCAGGTTTCTGGGCTATTTTTCAGTAAACATTACCTGCAGCAGATGATGGTCTTTATTACTCATCCTCCCTGGTAAGTGTCACTAAGATGGAAATAGAGAGTTTCTTATGGCAACCTGGAGTGTTTGAAAATTTAGGTTTGTTCTTATTGCTTTCCATTGTGAATTACCAAAAATTTCTTCAAACTCCTTCCCATCAGAGAACATGAAAGGTTCCTGTAGCTTTAGGGTGTTTTAGAGTGTAGAGGTTTCATGCTAAAAATGTCTTTTGGTACTTAATTTTCTTTCATTTCAAATTCAGACATTGGAATTCTGAGAAACCCTCCTGACACACTGTGGTGGGCTTTGGGGTTTTTTTTTGAGCAAGCCTGGCCTTTGTTGGCTAGAAAAACCCTGTTTTCTGATAGGGACTATTGTATTTTTCTAATATCCAAAATTTGAGCCCTCATCTCATAAGTAAGATTTAGGTTTGCTTAAGCAAATAATTCTTTTTAGTGGGTCACAGTCAGCCATATGTATGGATTATTTTGCTTTGTTCCCACAAGCATGTTTTTTTTTGTAAGTCAGCAAACCTTCTGACTGGGCAATAGTGGAAGCTGCACATTTATATGATTATTCTGTGCTTTTAATTTATTTATTTTTAAAATTAGGAATTACCTATTTAACTCTTGGGTTTTAAGACAAAAAGGGAGCAATTGATCTGAAAGAAGTAAAGAAATAATAAATCCAAGTTTAAAGTAAAATCTGAGGCATGAATGGCAACAGCATGTTAATAAAAAGCTGAAAATAAGAACTGATGAGGGTATATTTCGAAATTCTCAGAGACATGCCACCTCTTATTGAAATTCACCCTTCAAATTATTCAAGACCAAATTCAGTCAAGTAAACATCAGAAAAAACTACTTTCCTGTGCGAGTGACAGAGCCCTGGGACAGGCTGCCCAGAGAGGTTGTGGAGTCTCTGGAGACTTTCAAGACCCGCCTGGACACGTTCCTGTGTGACCTGCCCTGGGTGCTCCTGCCTGGCAGGGGTGTTGGACTGGATGATCTTTCAAGGTTCCATCCAACCCCTAAGATTCTTTGATTCTATGTTACTTGCAGACATTTTCTGCAATGCTTATTTGTTTATTTTTTTATCCAAGGCTGTATCAAGTAAGCCAGAATTCCACTCACTCTTCAGGACTTCAGACCTCCTTATCTGCCACTGCATGAATTGTTATTTGCTCTTCTTTCAGGGTGAGAGCTTCAAAGGTTTTGAATGGAGTTGTATGTCCAAATCCCATTCAGTTATGTAATCAGATTCTGTTTTGTAGATAAAAGAAAACATGCCGCCTTTTTATTCTGCTTATTGGTTCCATTGAAAATGCATGGGCCCTTAATTAATAGGATCTAACTGCAGAATCTGTTTCAAATTTAATTTTGGCACATTTTCATCCATAAACATCTTGTTTTAGAAGGTAGGAATGTTTCACGTTTTTAAAACAGAGTAATTTTTGGTGATTTAAACTGAAGATCACGAAATAAAAATAATAACTTCTTGTGTTGACACTCTTGTCATCCATAGCATACAAGTGAAAAATACTCAGAAGAAATCTGAGGAGATCATGCCTAGTTAAGATCTTGATCCTGAAATGTTAGAAAGTATGAAGAGATAACCTGTGACCACCCTAAAAGTATGCATAGGTTTCTCCTAAATCCTCTCCATCTTCTTACAACAACCCCACCTAACATGAAAGAAATGCAAACTACTCTTGCCTCTATGTCAAGTCACAGAATCTCAGAATGTCTGAGGTTGGAAGGGACCCCCAAAGGTTGAGTCCAACCCCCCTGCCAGAGCAGGACCAAAACCAGGGCAGGTCACTCAGAAAGGCATCCAGACAGGTCTGGAAAGTCTCCACAGAAGGAGACTCCACAACCTCTCTGGGCAGCCTGTCCCAGGGCTCTGTCACCCTCACAGGAAAGAAATTCTTCCTCATGTTCAGATGAAACTTCTTGTGCTTGAATTTGAATCCACTGCCCCTCGTCCTGTCCCAGGGCACAAGTGACAAGACCTTGTCCTGCCTTCTTGATGCCCTCATGTATTTATGGACATTAATTAGATCCCCCCTCAGTCTTCTCCTCTCTAGACTGAACAGCCTCAGGTCTCTCAGCCTTTCCTCATCAGGCAGGTGTTCCAGTCCCTTCATCATCCTCATAGCCTCCCGTGGACTCTCTCCAGTAGATCCCTGTCCCTCTGGAACTGGGGAGCCCAGAACTGGGCACAACACTCCAAGTGAGGTTTCACCAGGGCTGAGTAGAGGGGGAGGAGAACATCCCTTCATCTGCTGGACACACTCCTCCTAGTGCACCCCAGGATACCCTTGGCCTTCTAACTCACAAGTTAGCTGTTCCACATTGTCTTGGAATTGACCTGTGACCATTATCCCCAGTAAAAATGTTAACATTTGATGGAGATTTAATTTGATTTATAGATTGATTTTTAGGTTACACCTGCTCTGCTACTCATTTCCAATATGATTCTAACGCTATGCTGGGGAAATTCAAGAGAAACATTGAGCTGTTGGGAAGATTCTCCTGCTCCCCTACTGGGGCTTGGGGTTGCTTTTTTTGGGGGGGCAGGGGGTGTTGGAGAGTTTTGGGGGCATAGAAAAGAGATTGTGGGAAACAGGAGTATGTAATGTTGTGTGGATCTTCCAGGGTATGCTTGGCTTATTCTTTAAACTATCTGAATAAAATACAGGAAAAAAACCCTTGTCTTTATTCATGTAGTGTTTTGAGAGTTAAGACATGTCACGGGCTGGTATCAGGGGCCCCACAAGACAAAAGAAAACCTTAAAAGGAATAATTTTGAAAATTAAAATTGGCTATTTGTGGAATAATGAATTCAGAGTCCACAGGATATAAAATAAGGTTTGCAAAGGTTAGAAGAAGGGAGATTGGCTCTGCATATGCCTGTGTTCATGGGCAAACTTGTGTGCTTTTTTCCAAGTGCAATGGTACTTAAAAATATTGTGGCCCTAAGTCTTCAATTCAGTTTTACATTAACAACTTTAAAGTATTAGTGGCTCTATGGATTGAATTTCCTGTAGAATGTGGCAAAAATGTCTTAATTAAGAGATACAATGTAATTATTTTTCAAACTAAGTTGTTTTTCTCTATCCTTTTAGGGTATAAAGCCAGCAAGCTTTGAGAAAGTTACAGATCCTGAAATTAAGGAGATAATTGGGGAGTGCATTTGCAAAAATAAAGAAGAAAGGTTTGTTTCAAGTAATCAAGTTTTATATTAAATAATGCGTATGTAGAGATTTCAAAGGTGTCTGTTGGTTTTTGTTCTGGCCTCTTGAGTCTTCCCTGTGCAGAAGAATATGCAGAATGGAAATACAAGTGTGTAAATGGTTGCCAGCTTTCCTGCCAATGTACACCAGGATAATAGAATAAATTCCATTGTTGTGTCCTCAGCCTCTCAGCTTCAAATAATAAGGTCAGAAGGCATTGTTGCGGACATGTGAGCTGGCATATTCTGGCATAGGTGTCCGTAAGGTCTCACTCAGGAGGTTCTGTGTGGAGCATCAAGTGTGGTGGAGGTCACCCACGAATGCAACCTGGCAGAGGCTTCACCACAAGCTGTTAGAGCAGTTTCCATTGGCACATCAGCCTCTGGATGTGGAAAGAAATTGTGCCTTGTTTCTAGCTTTGACTTTTAAAGCCTCACCTCTTATATTGGACTCTCTTAGATAAGCGTGTCTAGTTCAGTAATTCACATCTTTTACAAATACGGGTTTTAAGGACCTCAACTAATGTACAGGGAGCCTCTATTAGTGTTCATTGATATCAACTGCTCAAAGAAAAGTTGAGCAAAGCTATAATCTGAATTTCTGAGGTGCTGGTGTATGAATATTGCTGAGGCTTTTGTGAAATAGGAAACGATTTTCTCAGCAGTCCTTGAGAACACAAATTTGTTATGGATGAACACAAAACATTCTGTAAATGTTTCACCTTTAACAACAGGGCTTTTTTTGTCATTAATTTCTTTGGAAGTGCCTAAGACTTGCAGTATTTGAATATTCTTTCTATCAATCGCAGATACGAAATTAAAGATTTGTTAAGCCATGCTTTTTTTGCTGAAGATACTGGGGTAAGAGTGGAACTTGCAGAAGAAGACCATGGTAGGAAATCCTCTATTGCCTTAAGACTCTGGGTAGAAGATCCTAAGAAACTGAAAGGAAAACCCAAAGATAATGGAGCCATTGAGTTTACTTTTGATCTGGAGAAGGAAACTCCTGATGATGTTGCACAAGAAATGGTAAAATAAACTTCTCCTGACAAAAATGTGTATATATATATATATATATGTGTGCATAA